TTCCTGCTCCATTTGCCAGTAAAACGCCTCTTCAATTAAAGCCCTGAGGTTGGCCCTAGTGCCTTTTTAAGTTGTTTAACACAGAGCCGGGCGCTCTGAGAAGTGTTGTCTCGGGAGAAGAACGTTGTTGGCGAGGGCGTCCACCCCTGCTTGGTGTGCTGTCCCAGCCTCGCCAGCCTGAGCTGCAATGTGCCTGCTGCTGCGTAACCAGGGCTGAGCCCGGCCTGCTGCTCTCTCCCGGCTCCCGAGAGGCGCGTGGGACGAGACAGAACTGGACGGCCTTGTGATGCTCATGCAGAATCCGTAGGGAATGTCGCAGAGACTGTTGCAAAGGACAGGCCCCGTAAATAAACCTGCTTGGCATGTCCCTTCCTCAGGGTGCCCGCTGTGGTGGTAGAGCTGGGGAATTGGGGCTGCCCGCCGGTCCGTGGGTTTCAGTGGGGAACACAGGTCACATTTGACCGTCCAGAGTGCTGCTGGTTTGCTGGAGTGAATTGATTGTTACAGGCACCAGTGAAACGTTTGCTGCAGAGGTTAGAGCCCTGGGCTAAAAATAGCACAGTGTGTAGGGTTTGGAGTGAGGAGGAGGGAGGCAGGGAGGGCTGTGCTTTTGGTGGGTTATCTGGAACTAGTGAGATTGGGGGGATTTCACCTGGTTCAAGTCTTGCTGTGAATATAGGGGTCCCATGGCTCCTTGTGGCCTCCTGGACTGGTCTGAGTGCAGTGCACCATGCGTGTGTGTAAGTCTGAATGTGAACGTGAGTGTGTGAGCATGTGTCTGGGAGTGTGAGTGTGACTGACAGTGTGAGCTGTGTGTGTGTGTGATGGTGTGGGTGAGTATGAGTGTGTGTGAGCATGTGTGAGAGCGTGTATAGGGGGGTGTAAGTTGGGGGTGTGTGTGAGGGTGAATGAGTATGTGTGACAGTGACCTGCCTGCCTTGTGGCGGCTCCATGCAATGTCACTGATGTGCCTGCCTCATCTCTTGTTGCTGACTTCCTTTCCCTTGGCCTGTTTGTTCAGAGAAGGAATGTAACTAACTCCAAGTGATGGTCAGAACGCACCTTGGGCAGCATGACATGGGGTCTCACAGGGCCCACCCAGAGAGAAGAGGTGTCTCAAAGGCCCTCAGTGCTGCTCACACGGGTCGGTCACATGGAATCAGTGTCCCCCTGAACCTCATCTGCCCCATGGCTGGGCTGAGCATGCTGGGTCCCTGGGTTCCTGACCTGGTCTGTGCCTGTCCCTGTGTGTATGGCGTCTCTGGGGACTTCTTTTTGTGTGTGTGTGATTTGGGTGAAGATTTACAGAGCAAATTCGCTTTCCATACAGCAGTTCACATATACTTTGTCGCATGTCATTGACTACAGTTTACCACAATGCAACAGCTCCCCTCCCACTTCTCCCCATAGTTACCTCTTCCCAGTGTCCATCCCTCCATACTCTCCTGCCCCCTGAGCTGTCTCCGTGTGCATAAGCAGCCCTTCCTTCTCCCATGACTGTTCTCTCCAGGGCGTGTA